TTTTTTCCATCAAGTTTTGATGAATCAACACTGTTCACTAAACATTCAACTAAAAGCAGGTGCTGATCCAGAACAGATTTACAGAAGGGACATCAAATTATATGAATAGAGATTACAGGGTTTATTTTTTTGACATCATAAAAAAAATAATTGAGTCGAAATTTATCATAAATGTATGTAGATGTGCGATTATGACGATAACGTGAACGGTCTACACCGTTGTATTAGGGTCCGAACGCACTGCAGTATTTTTGCCGTCGGGTCCGAATGGTTTTACCGTTCACGAATTTTACGACCCGCACCGCACTGCGTTTTTTTACCGCTGATACAATAGGTGTTATCACTCAATTTTCGCGTCTAAACTGGCTAAATATCAATTTCTAATTTCCAGAAGAAAATTGAATATTGATAGTTGATAGTACAGTGGTTGGTTAACCAACTACTATGGTCTGTGATCTACTGTATTTACTATATTTTAATCATAATCATAATCAAAAAAAAAAACTGAATAACAAATAAAACAGACTACAAGGTTTTCATACATTAGTAGGCAACTTGACGAATTTCACGACGGGACGAGTAAGCGTCCCTGTGGCGGTTTTTAATCGAACTACTCGTACCACTTTGTCAGCGCCGGGGAATACCTCCGTTACACGACCCATGCGCCATTTCAACGGCGGTGTTTGTGAGTCTTTGATTATCACTAAATCGTCAACATCGATATTCGGATTATCCGTAAGCCAGCGACTTCGAGTTTGAAGCGTCTGCAGGTATTTGTTGCGCCATCTACGCCAGAAGCCAACTTCCATCGGTTGACAAGGGTGTGTGTTTGTGCTGGTATTTTTACTTCGGGTACCGCGAGAAGTGGGCAGCCAATAAGGAAATGGCCGGGGGTTAAACATTCCAAGTCTGCAGGATCCGGCGACACAGGAGTAAGCGGCCTAGAATTAAGTATTGCTTCTACTCGACATAGTACGGTGTTAAACTCTTCTAAAATAAAGACGTGCTCCCCCATTATGCGGACCAACAACGACTTCGCTGATCGGATCGCGGCCTCCTACAGTCCGCCGAAATGCGGGGCACTACGTGGGTTGAAATGCCAGTTGCACTGGACACCACTCGTTAATTGATCACGACCCGCCGGCTCGTTCACCAAGGTGCGAAGCTGGTTATCAGCGCCTATGAAATTCGTGCCGCAATCACTAAAAATATCGGACGGTAGACCGCGACGCGCTACAAACCGGTTTAAAGCTGCCATGAACGCCTCGGTACTCAAATCGGAAACTAGCTCCAGGTGTACCGCTCGAACCGCAAAACATACGAAGACAGCCACATATATTTTACTTTGTCGTGCTTTTCGAAGTCGACTTTCTTTTACCAATAACGGGCCCGCATAGTCGATTCCCACCCTTGAAAACGGGCGGCTTTCCGTTACGCGTGACGCTGGCAAATCGGCCATAACCGGCTGAGGATTGGCGACCGTGAGACGAACACATCTCGTACACCGACTGATCACGGTGCGGGTTAACGTGCGGAGCGACAGTATCCAGTACGTGCGACACACAAGAGACGAAATAATCTGTGGTTCGCTATAACCCGTGACTTCATGCCAATGACGAATCACTAATAACGAGAAGTACGACGACTTGCTTAACAATATCGGATGCTTCTGGTGGTCCGGAAGGTCTGATCTGGATAATCGACCACCAACACGAATCAGATTTTTTTCATCTATGAACGGCCGTAGGCGGGCGACTGGACGCATTGACACGGGACGGTTATGTGACAACTCTTGTCTTAACATATGGAAATAATACAATTGACTAGAGCGCGATATCGCAAGCGCTGCTTGATCGAATTCATCACGCGTGATATATTCGACGGGTGCGGGCTGACATCGACATTTGGCAATAAATCGGCGTATGCGGGCCGTTACTCGGATCAACTGTACGCACGACGAAAATTGGGTGTACCATTCACTTTCTTCGACGTGCGTAGTTATTACCACTGGGCGAATGGCTTTTATTTCGGGCAGCTGATCAGCTGGTATTACCGGAACCGCGGTGTCCCATTCTTCATTGGATAAGTACAACACCGCCGGTCCCCTGAAATATAGTTTGTGTTTTATTAACTCCGACGGCAGGAGCCCCCGGGAACTGCAATCAGCTGGGTTGCTACTCGACGATATATAACTCCATCGACACTGTGGTAGTAGAGATTGGATTTTGTACACACGGTTTGACACAAAAATTTTAAACGATTCATGTGGATACTGAAGCCAATTCAACACAGTAGCAGAATCCGACCACGCATAAACATCGACTATTTTTAGTTTTACGCTTAATGTTATTCGTATTCGAGCCATCCACTTCGCTAACAACAGAGCTGCGCACAGCTCCAAACGTGGTATGGTCGACGATTTTAATGGGGCCATTTTTGTTTTCGCACCCAACAGCGAAATAAACGGACAACCAGACGAATCTAAGACTCGTAAATACACGACGGCCACTTAGCCCGCAGACGACGCGTCGCAAAACCCACAAAGAGAATATTGTACACCTCGATGTGTACCTACATATCGAGCTATGCTTACGTGTTGCAAATTGGGAAAGTCACTTACAAATTTGTTCCACAAATCGGCGATTTCAGGCGGAAGCTGCTCGTCCCACGATAAACCAGCGTGCCACACGCGTTGCAACAGTTGCTTCGCGAAAAATATAACGGGCGATAATAGCCCGAGTGGGTCGAACATGCGGGCGACACAAGATAACATACCACGCTTCGTGTTCATTATCGGTGACGGGTGGAATGTGTATGCAAATGTGTCTTCTCTAGGTGACCACTGCATGCCCAATACTTTTGTTTCACTCAAGGATGAGTCGTCAAGCGACAACAATTCACACGCCCGGTCCTCAGGGGGCACTGTTGCGAGTAGTTCGACTGTGTTACTTGCCCATTTCTTCAAATCCATGCCCGACCGTCGTAACACACGAATTAAATCAGCTTGGAGCGCTATAGCTTCCTCGACCATGTCGCCGCCAACACAAATGTCGTCTATGTAGGTGCAGTACGACAGGGCTTCACAAACAAATGGACTGTCTCGGCAATCTTGTTCGGCGATACATCGCAATACCTGAAGGGCCAGGTACGGAGCGCAATTAACTCCATACGTGACGGTGTTTAACTCGTACTCCTGTAATGCTTCATCGGGAGACACTCGCCACAAAATATGTTGATAGCGCCTATAACACGGGGATACCAGTACTTGGCGATACATTTTACTGATATCAGTAGTAAACGCATGACGATGCACTCGATATAGTAATAACACGTCGACAACATCGCGTTGTAATTTCGGTCCCGGGAAAAGGCAGTCGTTTAGCGACGTACCCGAGTAAGACGGCGCCGACGCGTCGAAAACAACACGAATTTTCGGGTTGACGTCCGATGGCCGGTAAATCGCGTGATGCGGTACACTCACCGGTCGACGTCGCTGGTGACATGTGACCCAGCTATAAATATTCGTTCATAAAATCACAGTAAAGTTTTCGAAGACGGTCGTCGGATATTAATTTTCGTTCTAACTGATGAAAACGCTTTTCGGCCACGGCGCGCGAACCACGAAAATCTCTATGGGTGACAGAACGACGAAATAATAATGGCACACAGAATCGCCCAGTGATTTCGCGGACACAGCCTTCGCGGAACAACGATGAACACTGTCCTTCGTCGGTAAAATTTTCTGGGGCCGCCTCAGGTTCCTCGAATTCCCAAAACTTTTATAACAGCGTTTCGACAGACACCATGAGCGACGCAAGACATGAAACATTTCTATCATTACTCGATTTCGAGTGTGGAACCGAACCGATAATCGTCCACCCAAATACCGTGCCGAACGCCGCCGGGTATGCGTCACCGACCGATACTCGCTTGCCGTTTAAAATTTGAGCGAATAAATCTGCTCCTAATAGTACGTCGATAGTACCAGGAATAGTAAACGACGGGTCGGCTAACGCGAGGTGTTTATATTTGTCGGCGAGCGCGTGTGATAACGAGTGCCGAGGCATATCAGCTGTGATAATCGGAAACGCCCATGCGTCAAAGTTGAATACTGGCTCGACTGAAAATCTGGGTTGCACGCGACATTTAACCACTCCCATTACATTCGTAACGGCCGCCCCGGCAAGACCACAGACGGGGGCGGTCCATTTCGATACACGTAATCCCAATCGACTTGAACAGTCTGCGTAATCGCACTGATTTGAGACGCGGAATCAATTAACGCGCGGACCGTGTGCAACACGCCGGCATGATCGTGTATATGCACCAGTGCCGTCCCGAGTATAACTGACGGTGACTTGAAATGGCCGACGAGAGACGACGCCGCTTCATTTTCCGACTGACTGACGGCGGGCGAGTGTTCTTCCCGGACACGATTATCCGAAGGCGTCGGATGTAACAGCGAGTGATGATTCCTGGAACATTGACCACAAACCGTCGACGACTTACATTTGGATGCCCAATGATCGGAACGTAAACACTGAAAACAAATACGTTGTTCACGCGCCCACGTATTACGTGCATCTTGAGACCAGTTCTTAAACTTGGTGCACGCTGTGAGTGCATGTGCGCCTGTACAACATTTACACGACGACTGTGCGCGAAACGGTGTGTTATTCGTGAGCATCGACGTGTGGTGTGGCGGTTTCGACTTATTAAACACTTTTGAACCGTAAGACACAACCTTTGCCGATTTCTGACTGTTAACGTGTTTTGAAGACGGTTCACGTGATACGCATTCGAGAACGGCCACGCGGGATTTCACAAATGAAAGCAAGTCCTTGACAGTCGGAAAACCATTGGCCAGTTGAGCTTCGAATAACTTGATGCTGTAGGTCGGCAAACATCTCGACGCCAATAAAAACAACATGAAATCCCCTAAATTGGGTAGATTCATCGATTCAAGAACAGACACTCCTTCATCAAAAATAACTAGAAATTTATTGAGTTCGACCAAGGATTCGGTCGACGCCTTTGGCGCATTTAACAAATTGTCGACTAAAGAGAACGCCACCAGCCGTGGTTTATCGAAGCGTTCTTTTAGGGTGCCCACGCTAATTTATAATTATTATCTGACACCGGAATACCTCGAATGGCGTCCAGAGCGTCTCCTTTACAACAACCAACGAGATAATAAAACTTTTCGATGTCTGATAAGTTCGCTCGACGTTCAACCATGGCCACAAAGCGATCGCGAAATGATGTCCATTTAAATATGTCACTGTGAAAGGTGGGCAATGGAATCTCAGGTAACCGAGTAGGCTTAATAATATTCACGCCGTGGGACTCCAGGGAGCCCGCGACATGTGACCGCGCGTCACCTGGACTAGCTGAGGGCCCATTGGCATCTCTATTCTCTCGTACCTCAGGTTGTTGTTCTATTTCAGCACTAGGATTCAACGACACGCGTGATTCTCTGAGCTCGGACGTCATCGTGTGTTCTTGCCCATACTTGACCACACGACTCGCCGTAGCTCTGGCGAATGAAATTAATCCGAGCATCTCCACGCTCAATGCGTCTGAGTATTCGTTCGCTAAGTTCAACTCGAGGAACTGATCCAACACAGCTTCGTTTTGCAGCTTAAAAGCGGCCCACAGATCATCGAGTTGTTCTACCATAAATACCAACTGCTGCCCCATCGCGGGATCATCGATGCTTCGTAATGCGACGGCATGAATTGATCGGATCTGATTTACGTACGACGTTCTTTTAATTTCGGACCTCTCCTTCAGCCGCGTAGCTCGCGTCACTTCCGCGGATACCGACATAATAATCAATGGTTATATATATAAATATATATATACGCGTCAAAACACAAATAATGATAAAATTTCGTTAAGTTGCGCAAGTGTAATAGTACGCTAATCACCGATACAATGGTATGATTAACGAAACCATAAAATTACATATAATATGTGTTATCGTGAAATTCACTGAGAATAACAAAATTTTCATTCAAATTGGAAATAATTAAAACGAATAAATCAAGCCTGAATTCAACAAGACACGAAAAAAAAAATAGAACCAAAACAATTTGATAAGAACGATAAACGATAGTTCACGTCGTTTGTTGAAACTCCAAGTTTCTCAACACAATTAATCGGAGCAATAAAATCAATGATAATGACACGTTATTACCTTGACGCAATTAAACACTTAAACGATAACACGCCGCACGGCGACAGAACGACAACGACCTTGCACTTTAAATATGCTCGCACTTTACAAAAGCAAAAATACTCAGACGATATCGATTAGGACGGGCCCATAGATCCTACGTATTAGGTCATACAGCTAATCGACTTAATATAAATAACTTTACGGGATGTAACCACGCTCTGCTACTAAAAATGTAATCAAGACCTTCAATGCATACGGCCAGAGGTGCCCGCTGCTAATCTCCTTACATTGACTGTATTGACCCAACAAAGACAAAGAACAGAGTATTTTGGCTGAACACGAATATAAATCACCGCAGCAGTAAAATAGGGAGGAGGTAACCTTACTATTTAGGGTAATAAAAGAATATATACTACATTTATAATAAATGAAGACGGGCCATCAGCACCGCCGTAATATTGATAATAAAAATACAAATAATTATATATATATATATATATATATATATATATATATATATATATATATATAAACAAAATACTAAAATAAAAACCATTGGGTGCCCGTAAAAAAAATAAGAATAATAAATAATTAGGTCGAAGACCAACAAGAACATAAAATAATGAATAATGTCAACGTTACGGTTAATACAATGATTCCACGAGCGCTGAATAGAGCTAATTCGACCGCTGACGTCCCGCGACGGTGGACGGGAATCAAACACGACGAGTGGCTTGATGCTGGATCCCGGACCCGATCAAGCTGGTACACGGCACAACGGCAACGATTGCGGCAGCAAGTACACGACGGCAACTGGACACCGCGATACCGGCGGCAATCAGCACGACGGCGAAAAGAAAGGAACGTCCGGTGGCGATACGTACAACCGCAGAAAAAACGCACGAGGGAAAAACAACTCAATTGCCTCGCTCGCGAAGGGGCACCCGATGCCGTAACGGACCGATCGACAGTGACGGTGACGCCGGCTTGGTGCCGGGAAACGGCCGGTCGTTATCTGGCGAGGTAGGCCAGGGTGCGGGGAGGTCGAAAGCTCGCGAGGAGTATATAATTAATATTGACACAGGGGTTTTCCGGTAATCACCGGTGTCGACTGCCAAAAAATGATTGTGGTTTATTGAAAGCGTGTCCATATATTCGACAGATATTGCGTTGATAAAGAATAGAAGCATAGTGAATAGAACCAAACCAACTAAAGGTCACTATGATTTATTTATCCTTAAAAATACATGCCCCTATGATTCAATTTTACAAGCTATTGCCTACGCTTATTTTGGTAGTAAAAATTATAGTACATGTATAGAAAATAACAGTGATTCAATTGATATTTATAATATTACGAAAACATTAGTCACCGAAGGATTTTCAAAAATGTTCATTTTACAAAGAGTCGACTTACTAAAAAACATTTGTAAGTCGGAAAGGTTGATTGACAATACTATTCTCTTGAGATGTGAAGGAAATATCTCAACATTCTTCGAAAAAATTTGTCATGGCCTAAAAAGTGCTAGAGTCATACACATGTATTGATTGTAATTTTGTATGGTACTACAAAAAAAAGATATTTTCTTTGCTATTAAAAAACTGATTATATGGAAACAATAGTAAAGAATTCGTTCCATGAAATATTAAAATGCCGAATCTGTGACACCGAAAATAGTGTAACGGTTGAAGTTTGTGACCAGTTATGGATTGATTGCGACATAATGAAAGTTTTCCCATTAGATCTACCTATTAAATTGAATTTCAACAAAACCTTAACTTTAAGAGCAGTTATTGTATACAGTAGTTCAACCAATACCAAAGCAATTGGACACTACTCCTGCATATGTAGAAGAAACGATGGAGCCTGGGAAATTTATAATGATACCCAAAATAAAGTAATGATTGCTCGCACAAGTATTTCACAGAATGTTACTGCGCTATTCTACACTATTTAACAAGACTTCAAAACACATATTTTTATCACAAGTTGAAAATTGATGTTTTTTGTTTATTTCCTTTATATTATTATAATCATACAATTAAAGTTTCATATAATTTATGTATATTATGATATTTTAATCACATATTAAAAG